GTGCTAGCTAATTTTTCCATTCCATTTACCATTCCATCCTTTAAAGTGCCTTAATCTCCTGCCCTCAGATGTTGATCTTGTAAGAATAGGGGTCATAGGTCAGGGTAGACAGACCTCAAAGGATCTGGCCTATCAATTCATGCCTGAAAGATTTCTCTGCCACAATAGGAACCTACTAAACAGCAAATTCCTAAATCTAATCACACAAGTATCAGGGTGAAACAGTTATTTATTGGAATTCATCAATTTACATTTTTTTCAAACACCTCCAGCAAACAGCATTTTAATTGTCTTTGGGAAACAGGTTCTGGGATATAGTAAAAATGAAAATAATACAACCGAGGGACATCTTAAAGTAAAACAGTAAAGTGTAAGCATGGGCTTATTATTTTCAGGAATGCTATTAAGATTTCAAAAGACACAGCACTAGATTTCCCACATAAAGTAACTAGGAACCACCAAAGTACACAATGGAGAGAATGAATGGGGAAGGTTAGGAGCACAGAGTGGGTCAAGGGAAGAACTACCAGTGTCCAGTTTGTAGCTATCCTATCCCAAGAGTGCACAAGGGCATCATTTAAACATTTTCCACCCGATAAAGGAAACACACAGCTCTTCATTAACCAACACCCGAGGCTCTTCCAAAACTTTCTTACAAATGTAAAATAATTTGAGTCACAAAATTATAGTTTTGTAAAAATTAACCATCATGAATCTCACATAAAAACCAGGGTCATTGTGTGTGTGTGTGTGTGTGTGTGTGTGTGTGTGTGTGTGTTTAACTTATGAGTTGAGTTTCAACCAGATACCATATAATTAGATTCTATTTATACTCACACAGGTCTTTTTTGGCCATAAAGATAGCATATCACAATGTGTCATTTCAATATTGGACTACCAGGAATGCCAAACTCAGAATAAGTATAAATAAAAACCATCTAGGTCTAAACACTCTTTTTAATAGTACCAAATAAAGGAACTTCTACTCAGAAACAAACAAAACTGTAGCAATTATCATTCTTTAGAAACAAAATACTACTTTAAATTATATAAAAGAAAAAAGTGCTAGTATAGTTTAAAAATTAAATATTGCACCAAATTAATTGGAAGCACTAGAATACTCTCTCAGTTACTTTTAAAAATCTAAGTTATTTTTAAAAAATTCAAGTCACCACTGTTACAAAAGGCCTTCCATTATTATCAGGGTGTGTGGTTGGGTCAGAGAACATGTTAAGGAGAACAAAGACAACAGTCACTACACTGGGGGAAAACAGAATTCTAAGAGGAAAGAAGAGAGTAAACAGACAAGTCCCAGAACCAGATATCTATCCCACAGAGACATCTTCCATATGTGAATTCACTACAGATGTTCTTAAAAGTTATGTGTATTTCATTTACTAATTATTTAGCATTGTTACTTCACCTGTACAAAGATTTTTATACTATTAGTCTCACTGCAAGTCTGTTTAGTCATTCCAAATATCTGCAAATATAAACTAAACTTTCATGATGAAAGTTAATTCCATAATGTAATCTGACATTATTAATTCATGTAAATACAATGGTGGACAAAATTATCATTTTATTAGTCTACCTCAAATTTAAGTGTTAAAATTTACTTGTTCATAGTAAATTGTGTTCTTCAGAGAAAGGTACCAAGACTAGTCTTGTTTTTAAGAAAAAGCATAAGGTCTCTTATTTTTCATCAGCTATCTTCATTTTATAATGAGGAAAGTTACAAGAGGTTTTTGTCTCCTTACTCTTCTGAAGATGAACATAAAACAAACTAAACAGCAAATAAATTATTTCATCTAAAATTGTAAGAAATCTTCACTAACATGGAAGACTCCACTTTACAGAATGAACACTCTTCATTTCTAAACAATTCATATGATTCCTAAACAATTCATATGATTCCTAAAGAAATGAATCAATCTAAATGTTAAACCACATACAAAGCTAACTCTAATTGGATAATTGAGCAAATGCAAAACATATAACTAAATAGGAATAAAAACCAAAAAATAGCCGGGCAATGGTGGCACCCACCTTTAATCCCAGCACTAGGGCAGCAGAGGCAGGTAGATCTATGTGAGTTCAAGGCCAGCCTGGTCTACTGAGAGAGTTCCTGGACAGCCTCCAAAGCTACAAAGAAACCTTATCCTGAAAATTAAAAAAAAAAAAAGCATCCTACCAGAGAGACATGGAAGGAAATACTGCATTCTGGTGGTAAGCAAACAATTCTCTTTTTTATTTTGTTTTGGGGGGGTTTTAATTTATTTATGTATTTGTTTATTTTTGAGACAGGGTTTATTTAATAGCCCTGGCTGTCCTAGAACTCACTCTGTAGACCAGGCTGGCCCCAAATTCAGATATCACCTGTCTCGGCCTCTCATGTGCTAGGATTAAAGAGGGGAGCCACCATGCCCATATTTTAAGCAAAGGATTCTTAAACATGACATCAAGCAAACGTTAAATAAACTGTCCTTATCAAAATCAAAAACTTTTATACTATAAGATTATTTAAAAGAGAGGAAAACAGGATACAGAATAGAAGAAAATATTTGGAAAAGTTTATCTGGCAAGTGTCCTATATCACAATGTATATTAAAAGCTCTCAGAGTAATAAGAAGAAAATAAAGATCTCAGAAAGAAAGAAAGAAAGAAAGAAAGAAAGAAAGAAAGAAAGAAAGAAAGAAAGAGAAAGAGAGAAAGAGCAAAGACACGGTTCACCAGAGAACAAAGACAGCAGCATCAAAATGCCTTGAACAATGTTTAGCATGAGCAGCCATAGCCATGACAATATACCCTAATTACTATGACCATTACATATATGGGTAGCTAGGCTTATGTCCAGTTGGAAAACATCAATTACTGGCAAATATTCATAGCAGGCAGCTTGCACACTGCTGACAGAAATGCAGGAGAACATGATTCCTCTACAAAACCAAGGTAAACACATACCCATGACCACAGTATATAGATGTCTGACTCCAAAACCAAAGACTAATTGTGCAAACTCACACCTGAGTCTTTGTAGATGCTGTTCATAATTGCCACACCTGGAAAATACCCAAATCCCTCAACAAATGAATTAGATAGACACTGTTATAGCCTAATAATTGGAATATTACCCAACAATCTAAGAGAATGAACTACCGACATATTCAACATTGCAGATAAATTTCAAAAGCACATATGCCACAAAAACAAAGCCAATCATAATATGAAGGAACATGTTACTGGTTGCCAAAGTGATAGATTAGGTGTAGGTAGCATAAAAGGCTGTGAGAGGTTGTTTGTTGGGGGGTAATTGACTGCTCTGAGTAATTCATAATGGTGAGGGGGTAATTTACGCATGTGAGAATTCATAAAACTGTGAATAAAAATATAAATTGTTATGACAGTAAATAAAGTAAAATTAACATTCCAAACAAGGAAAACATAGAAAATTGTGCCAATGTTAATCTTTCTCTTAAAGAAGAATGAACTGGAAGCCTGCCTTTCTCATGCTTCAGGGAACGAATCATTACTGTCATTTTCTTAACTATCCAGCATTAAGACCAAGGCCTTGCACATAACAAGGCAAGAGCTTCCCCATGAATCCATATCCCCAGCACTAACACCATTATTCTCAAAATTTTGTAAGCTTTAAGTTCAAAAGGGGCTTATACCAGTATCTAAATCTCTTAAATGTGCTTCTCTTCCTCTTGCACTGCTTATATATTGAGGTTATTGTGCTAAGTTTTTTGAAACTTGAATCTAACTACATCCTTTCTGCCTACCTTTACACTTTAAGGTAGAGAAGAATAAGAATTATGAGTTTTGAAACACTGGGATGAATCTAGGTGTTCGTTTGTATTTGTGTGGTAGTCCCTTAAATTAGCTTGAGTTTATTCATCTTCAGCAAGGCAGTCGTGGAAGTCAGGCTGTGTAGTATTCTGTCATCCAGTACCATTTTCTTTAAGTCTTCCCATTACTGATCATTTTTATCTTTGACCATGTGAGCAAGATGTTATGGGTCAAACTTCTCTACTCATTTACTTTTGAAATTAGTAAGCATTTTGTTGGAGGACACGCCTTAAGACAGTAAGTAATTCATTTCTTATCACAATGAAAAGTTTTCTTTTCCTTCTTAGAGCCACTGGTTTCATCCCCATGACCTTTAATCTATAGAATTGCTATTAACTTCAGTGCTCAAATTTCCACTCCTAACAACATGTCCTAGACAGCATCTACACCTGTTTGACAGGTCCCTATCATTGTTTTAGATACTGCTCATCATCTCACTCCATCTTCATGTCAGCTCATGAACATTCAGACCTCAGAGCCATGCTTTCAGTTTCATGAGAATCACTGAAGCAACCATCTCCTCTCCCCTACATGATGACTCTCTCTTTTCTATGAAACCACTCCCCATCAACACACATAAACTCTGTAATGTCTTAACCTTTAGAAAATGCCCCCATACTGTACTTGCTTCTTCTGCTCCCTCTCCTGTCATTCTCTGCTGAACACGATGCACAAGCTTTCACTCCCACCAGTCTGCAGAGTTATTCCTATCACATCCACTAGTCACTGCTGTGTTGCTAAGTTGTTGGAGTCTCAGTGGTCATCGTGATCAGTGTATCATCAGAATCTCTCAACAGTCTTGGTACCTACCTCCTTGATTTTCTTTCCCAGTCTTCTAAGACAGAACCCTTCTAGATGACCTTCTGCTCCCATTGCTTCCGCATCCTCTTTCACCGCTACTTTTCAGTGCTAGAATGACCCAGGCAGATCCCTCTTTTCCTTATGGGTATAAATATCATTTCACTGACTACTGCTGAACTCTAGTTTTCTGCCCTAGACCTCCATATCATGTACCCTTCCACCTAACTTGTAACCCCTGTGCACTCATCATGCCCCAAGCCAAACTGTGGATGTATTGCTCCTTCTGCAGTTTTTCCCATCTTGGCAACTGGTCCCTCCATCTTTCTTGTTACCCAGGCAAAACAAACCTTGGAATCATCCTGGACTCTTCTTCTCTCACAGTCCACATCTGATCCATCAGTAAGTCCTGCCGTCTCCACCTTCAAAACATACAGGAATTTCGCTCACCACTTCTTTGTCTACCACCCCACTTCAAACCACCACCATCTCTTTCTGGTATACTGGAAAAGCATCCCTAATTCATTTCGCAGCTTCCATCCTTGCTTCTCCAAATTACCTAAAGTGACAGCTGTCAGGAGGCACTTTAAGAAATGTCATGATTTAGATCTAAGCACTTCTGAAGAGCTCAGGTTAAAGGCTTGGCCTCCTTGGAGGCAGGAGTGTTCAGAAGCAGGGCCTTTGGGAAATGGTTCACTTTAATAACATCAGTGGGTTCATAGCTTAACAGCAAATTGGGTTTAAGAAGGTGGGATCTAGTTGGCAAAAACAGATTACTAAGGATGTACCTTCAAGTCCTCTGCCAACCCTCTCTCCTTTCCAACAGTCATGAAGTAAGCAAAATTAATTTTTCCTCTTTTAAGTTAATTTTCTCAAGTATTTTGTGATGGCAAGAAAAAGCCAGCTGGTCTAAAGAAGTAAACTGGATTATGAGATTATGTTTGTTTTAAACTAATTCTAATGATGCTATATTTTTTCTATAATCAAAGTTCATATATGAAGCAGCCAAATGTTACAAAAGACAAAAACCACAGAGGTCCACAGCTATGTAATTAGAAAAACGTAAATAACATTCAGAAACCATCTCACTTTTGTTGTATTTTTTTTTTTTTACTCTAATTATTCTAGGCAGCAGTTTAGAACCAGGTACCAAAAACTTTCCATACATAATTTTTGGTTCAGATTTTTAGTAGTAAATATTTATTCTAAGAATATAATCAGACTATTTTTAAAATGTACACATAAGAATTGATACAGTGGTGCTGATTTCTAAGCACAGAAAACAGATTCAATAGCCCTGACAGCATTGCTTGTCTTATAGAGAATGTATGCAGGTGTTAATTAATGACATCTAAGAGTTGGTTTTAAAAAACAAAAAATAGCATATAGTTTATGACTTCTATCTGCATTTGGGATTTCAAGTGACTTTTCCCACTAACGTCAGTTTTTAATGTTTAGATTTTCAAAATGTGAGTCTCCATTTTAAAAACAAACCAGTAAGTATACTCTCACTGGAAAAAGCAAGTGGAGAATCAGAAAACTGTAGAGAGAGAGGCATTTCTTCTGTAAGAATTTGAGTTCCTCCTCTCGTCTTCCAATAGTCTAGGGAATGGTAGTCATAGCACTATCCCACACTTCATGCTAACTGCGTCTCCATACTCTGAAGATAGTGCAAACTGCAAGACAAGACTGTCATCTTGATAAGTCTATTCAACAGCACAGTGAATGCATCTTCTTGCTCCATAAAATCCATAAGCAAAATGATAGGAAAATCTTACAAATATTTTCCAAGTAGAATACAGTCATAAGTCAGCCAAGTACCTTACCTGTCTCCCTTTGGTTTTCTTTTCGGCTGTGTCTTCCCTTTAGGTCTTCTTTCACTTCCTAAGCAGGGGCTCCCACCTGGGCCTGTTACCCTTATTGATTCAAGTCCTTTGGGGGACTTTTTAAATGTAAATTCTACTGGCTCTCCTTCTTTCAAGCTTCTAAATCCTTCCATGAATAGTTTGCTCTATAAAGAGGAGGGAAAAGAGAGAAAGAGATAATGATTGTCACTGTTTTATAAATTATCTGTAAAATTTTAAGATTATCAAGAATTCTGTTATCCATTACAAAAGTAGAGTTTTATTTTATTGAGGTTTGATAAACATTACAATGCTGGTAATTGAAATCCTATACCACTGTGTAAAAAGCAACTTTGTGATACAGAAATGTAAATGTACACATTCCTGTCCCATCCATTCTACCACAAAGGCTCTAGTATGAAACCAAAGCGATGCCACCATCCTGATCTGAGCTCAGTCCCCAGGACCACATGAAGAAGGAAAGAACTGACTCCAAGCTGACCTCTGACCTCCACATGTGCACCATATCCACACACGAGTGCACGTACGCATACATACATACACACATGCACACACATACAATAAATGCAATAACACTTTTAAAAAGAGGACCCTACTATATACAAACTCACATAGAGATTAATTTTTTTAGGCATCTACAGCACTGTCTGGTAAAGGAAATTATATCAGCCTTAACATCATTTTAATGCCATTGATTAAATAAATTGTACTGAGAGTCATATTATAAAATATTATCAAGATTGCCATTACTAAAGTTTTTACTTAGCTCTGGCCAGGTGGTTTTCTGTTACTGCCTTACCCACTGCTCTCTTTGTAGTGTGCTAAACAACATCATTTTTTCCCTTAAAAAACTAAAGATATTTAGTGCTACATGCATTGATGTATGAAGACAAACATGTGATATTGTGCCTTTAAAAAGGAACATGTGCCTGCCATGATGCCAACAACACTTTTTCTTTTCTTTTTGAAATTATACTATATTTATATCATTTGCCCATTCCCTTTCTTCACTCCAAGCCCTCTGATATTATACCCCTTTTTGTTATCTTTGAAATTCACGGTCTCTTTCTCATTCACTGCTATTAAATTCGTGTGTGTGTGTGTGTGTGTGTGTGTGTGTGTGTGTGTGTGTGTGTGTATGTATATATGTATATACTATTTGGTGGTATATCACTAAATATAACCTGCCCAGTCTGTATAACGTTGATCATATGCATGTTTTTAGGGATAGCCATTTGATATGGGGTCAAAAATACAATTTTTAAAGTCTATTTTTGTAGAGATGACTGCTATAAAACAGTCTATATGACACTTGATTGTATTCTGGGAGCATTTTATACTAGAACAACTGACTTACATAGCTTATTTAAATTTTTTCTCAGTTATAAAATCATAACCTGGGTTTTAAATATTCTTTCACTCTTATTACTTTTTCTGTCAAGGTAAATATGCTGATTCAAAATGTACTAAGATAATTAATCTTTAGTTTTTTATTTACCTGTCTGGATTCTTTTTTGTGTTTTTCACAAATCCAACTCAGAAGACCTCAGTCTGTAAGGACTTTTCTGATCTAATGTGGGGAATGTGAGATCTGTAAGGACTTTCCTATCTAATGTGGGGACTGTGCAGTCTGGAAGGACTTTTCTGATCTAATGTGGGGACTGTACAGTCTGGAAGGACGTTTCTGGATTTGTCTGGCAAAGGAAAGAAGCAGTTTCTGTCTTTTCTGCTGATGCAGTTTGTTCTTAGTAACTACGAATCTGAAAAAGAGATTGTGAGAGCAGGGTTTGTGTTCCAAAAATTCACAGCTCCCAAGTTGGGAAACAGTGTGCAGTTTTCCAGGGGCTGGGTCTACTAGGAGGGCCAAAGGTCAACTGGACTCGTGCTTTCTATAGATACTGTGGACTGCAGTCTCTCTGACGTCCTGTTCTGTGATGTAATCTCTTGTCTTGCTGTGTATCCCCACCATGGTGTTATCTACCCACTGGACCTTTTCCACAGGCAGAAGCAGTGCCCCACCACCTCCTTAACTGTGAACCACATGAGCCTCTCTTATGTGTAAAACTTGTCTTCATCATAGTAACAGTAAACTGACTGCTAGATACAGTAGTCCCGTTTACCCCAGCTTGCTTCCTACAGTTCCCATTACCTAAGGTAACAGTAACTAGAAAATATTAAATGAAAACATTCAGAAATAACTGATAAGCTTAAGATGTAAATCAATTTGAGAAGCATGATGAAATTTCTGGCATCGCACCTGATCCCAAGAAGGATGAATCATCCCTTCAGTATCCTGTGTATCTACTTCCTACCTGATCATTAGTGACTAGGCATCATGGTTACCAGATCAACCCAAGGTAGGGTGCCACTTCTGTTCAAGTCACCCTTACCTAACTGAAAAATGGCCCTTAAGGAAAATAGTAATGCTGACAATGCACTTATGCTAGAATGACACTACAGAGTACTTTAAGTTAAAAGGTGAAAGATAATGACTTAATAAGGGCACAAAATCACAGCCACAAAAAATCAGGAATTAGGGTAGGTTTATCACCACCGATCCTACATTAAAAAGTATAGCAGAACATGATGAATTTTTTAAAATTCCCCAAAGTAACAACTTAGAAAAATGATCAATTCTTTGCAAAATAAGACAACGTGGTAAGATTTTATGGTTTTCATACATTGTCCCTGGCTCACAATTCCTACAGCCAATATTATTTCCTTACATGACAAGATTATTGGCGTGTTTCAGGCCTTAGAACCTCAAAGCTTTTCCCCTCTGACCTTCTCCTCTCACCTTTGACCTGTTCTCTTGTTTTCCACAAGGAAGATCACAGAGATTTAAAACATTCTGCTCTCTATTTACCTTGGAGCTTCCAGCCATTAAGAAAGTCCCTGACCTAGCTATCTTGTCTGGCAGTCCATTCAGAAATGGCCCTGTTTATCTCCCTGAAGGAGGAAAACCATTAACTGTGGTGATATCTTGCTTGTGCAAATAAAGCCTGTTTAAAGGTCACAGAATGGAGCTTGCCACTAGCTAACCATAGAGGTCTGGAGGTCTGTACAGACAGACAGGAAGTGAGATGGTTGGGAAGAAACAGGAAGTGAGATGGCTGGGCGGAGAGAGTACATAAGCAGGGAGAAATAGGAACTTGCTCTCTTGTCTTCTGAGACCCTAAGAAGGTAAGGTATGGCTTGTTCCTTTTTTTCTGATCTCTCAGCATTTTCCTCTATATCTGCCTCAGAGTTTTTATTACTTGGACCAATTCAAAACTCCCATTTTACATTTTGGCACCCAATGTGGGTCACGAATCCACAACCCTGAGATTAAGAGTCCCATGCTCTACTGGCCAGGAGTGGGGGTGCACACCTCTAATCCCAGCACTCAGAAGGCAGAGACAGGCTGATCTCAGTGAGTTAGAGGCCTGGAACAAAGCAAGTGCCAGGACAGCCAGGGCGGTTATACAGAGCAAACCTGTCTCAAACAAACAAACAGAAAAGGATCACGGGTTTTCTCACTGAAGTTTGGAAACCACTCTGGGTGGGAAAGAAGGCGGCAGGTCCCACTCTGACCTTCTCTCTGCACCCGTGTGTTTGAGGCTTCAGACTTTGCAATAAAAAAAAAAAAATGGCAACAATATTAGAAAGGAAGGAAACTTGTCTATATTTAAACATAATATGACTGTGTAGAATATCCCAAGTACTTCCTACCAGATGGTGGTGGCACACACCTTTAGTCCCAGCACTCTGGAGGCAGAGGCAGAGGCAGAGGCAGGCAGATCTCTGTGAGTTCGAGACCAACCTGGTCTACAAGAGCTAGTTCCAGGAGAGCCTCCAAGGCCACAGAGAAACTCTGTCTCGAAAAACAATCAAAAAAAAAAAAAAAAAAAAAAAAAAAAAAAAAAGGAATATCCGAAGTAACTACTAAGAATTAATAAGTAATTCTCAAAAATACACTGAAGTTTTTATAATAGCAGCATACAACTAGCAAATTTAAAAATTTAAATGAACCATTTCTATCAAAAAATACAAAATCCCAAACATAAACCCATCAGATTATTTGGTTTAAAAAAAAAAAATGCTGAGGGATGCTGCAAGGAAAGGACAATGAAATGGCTCAGTGAGTAGAGATGTCTGCTGCCAAGCCGGCGCTTGATTTCCCAGGACCTATACACTGTAAGAAGAATGACTTGCACGAGTTATCCTCTGACCTCCACACATGCATTATGGCACACTTGAACACCCTGTACCCCTAAATAAATAAAGTGTAATTTAAATGAAATCAAGGGCCTAGCAAACATACAGAGAAAATTCCATACAATAACTGAATATGCATCCATCATCAGAACAAAAAACATTTCTAGGACTTCACATCAGCTATCATTTCTGACCCTAACACAGTAAAACTGCAAATCAGACACAAAGGCCTTTAAACTGTTCATGTAGATGGACACTAAATGATTTTCTCCTGAACAACCAGTGAGGCAGTAGAAGGAATGCCCACAGCAGCCAATGCCAAAAACACAAGCCAGAAAGAGTGCAAATAAATATTACATCTCAAGAAAAAATCAAACGGAACCTCAAATTAGGAGAGAGATAGCAAAAATCAGAATAGAAACAGTTCAAACAGATTTTTAAATTAGTAAAATAAAATATTCTTCAAAAAAGTGATCAAACTCAAATTTAGAAAACCAGAATGGAAAGGGCTGCATCAAAACTGAACATAGAAATACAAATGATTACAGATCACTATGAGCAATATGCTGACAAATTTTATTTTACTGATTCAAATACTTACTTGCAGGAGTAGGATGGGCTCTAGGACCTTGCACATGCCAGACAAGTGCCCAGTTAGTAAGCTGCATGCCCAGTCCTCTTTCGGGATCTAAGTTTCCACACTGGGCTTGATATTTTCTTTCTGCCCCAATCTCTGAATAGCTGGGGTTACAGGCATGCATCATCAGGCCTAGCAATGCCAACAAATTTTCTAACTCAGAAGAAAAGAACGAATTCCTATAGACATTTACCAAAGAAACAGAAAACCTAACAGACCAGTAACAGTGAAAATGAATCAGCAATAAAGTTTCCCATCAGAGGGAACTTTAAAAAGTTCCAATACTATTGTCTTAACATACTCTATAAAGTG